CAGAGTACAGCCCTTGTTGCACAAACCACCGATTTTTTAAGTTTAGAGACACCCTCACACAAAAATCCCCGGGCTGTGGGATAACGCCCAACAAACTTAAAGTGGCCAAGTTTGGACAACACTGGGATAGAGGGAAAGGCTGCATCTGGCTGAATTGCTCCTTCAGGGTTTCTTTTAAATGAGATTGCTGCTCTCCTTGCACTAATTTTCTCCTCAGTTAGCACCCGCAGCCTCCTCACCAGGATTTACAACATCGCCCACTTTTCTGAGTTCAGAAGACCCACCGAACCATGCGTTAGCCACGTTCGCCCAACTCACTAGGCCAAATTAGGGTTGGTGATTCAGTGGCTGCGTCGATGCAACCATTTTCCAGAAAGTTATCCAGAGCCCCCTGCGTGGGGAGGGTCCAAGCAGAGGCCATCTATCAGCCCCCTGGAATTTGGGTTCCCGCCTGGGCTCGATGGCCTTTTCCAACTCTCGGATCCCGCAACATAGCCAGGCCAGTTGAAGACTTTGGGGATGTCTTGTCCCACCTGCTGAGCCTGGTTAGGATTAACCTTCACCAGATTCTCATGTGTGCACCTTAACAGTGTTGTGCAAATCCAGCTGGTTTATTAGAGTACAGTTCAGGATCTTGTGCAAGCCCCAAAAATGAGTGAATTCTTTAACCAGGTTCAGCAAGCTGGCCGAATCAGCCGGTGTGCCGTGCAATTTGAGCCTTTCACTTCCTTGAAAGACCTGTAGGCTGAAATGGCGTTTTTCTCGCACAAAGTTATGGCTTCGGGAAAAGGTTCTCTGAATGGGGGAGACTTGAAAGTCAAGGGTTCTGCTGCCCTGAAGTATGTGCTAGGAGGCCAGGCTGTTGACACTACACACACAGGGAGTGGTTTGCTGTGGGCATGAAAGCTTTGCTGTGACTTTCTCTTCCAGCGTCCTCCAGCCACTTCCAGATCCTTGTTGCCCACTCAGGTCAGAACGAGCTTCGAGGGGAAGGCAGCTGTTTTCCACCTGCAAGTTTACTCCTCAGCCAGATCCCCTTTGCTCCTTGCAGAAGACAGAGCAACCACCTCTCCTCACCTGCCTGCAGAAGGAAAGGCAAGGGCACACAGAGGTGGTCGTGCCAACTCCCAGAAGAGCTTCCGCCTTCCCAATGGTAAGACGAGCTTGACCTAAGGAAAAATGGGGCTGGGGGAACATCCAATGTTAATGGCTATTATTTCATATAATTCCATTTTTTACTGCGCTGACGAGGCTCAGGATGGTGCATAAGCCAGGTTGGTGCACCTTCTCCAGCCCTCTCCCCTCCAGGACTTCCTCTCCATCCATCCATCCAGGCAGGCAGGTTTTCTTCAAGGTCAAGAAGCTTTCTCTACTCCAAAAGCTGGCAACCCGAATCACCAGCTACGGGTCCTTCAGGGGAGTTTACAGTAGCCCCTTCTGCACGTCATGTTCAAAGATGGGTGGGTGGGTTTCTATGTCCTTATTTCATGTCTCGTTTTGGTTGTTTTCCTCCCTGTTTGATACAGAGCTTGCGGTCACGGTAGAATCAGGATCTGGCTGCCTTAATTTACCTGCTGGAGCCATGGAATTCTCCAAGCTTCCCAAGATTGGGGATGCCGAAAAGGAGAGTGAATTGGGATTCGTCCATGGTGTCTCTGGGCCTGGTAGGTTGTCTGAAGACTGAAGAAGTTAAAACACCCCTTTTAACTGTCTGCAGCAGTGTTTCTCAACCTTGGCAGCCTGAAGATGTGTGGACTTCAACTCCCAGAATTCCCCAGCCAGCACAGCT